GAGATATTAATATATAATGCTCGTCAAATCTGAATGCGCGGCGAGATACCCCCGCCCGCCGCGGACCGCAGGCACCTTCCCCGCGCTCCTAGTGGGCGGCGCGTGGTGGGGGTAATCTATTGCCGTGCGTTTGACAATCAGTTACCCCCACCACGCGCCGCCAACTAGGCGCGCGGGGGAGGTGACCGCGGTCCGCGGCGGGCGGGCGTATCGCGCCGCGCGTTCAGATTCGACGAGCTTTATATATTAATATCTCGAAAAACTATTTTGAAGATCGCAAAATGGTAGAGGACTTTTTTGTTCAGTTTGGTCTACACTACCTGCCCACAAGCGCTGTACCATTGAGTACGAGACACCCTGTATATATACAGATTGATAGATCAAGTATCAAGTATAATTTTCTTTTGCTGACCTGATTTTATATGTGTGTCTTTACAAAATCAGTTCAGCAAAAATTATAATACTTGATATCTGATCTATCAGTCTTATACATGAATGAAATTAATAAAGTATGCAATAAATAACAAACAAAGCTATTATATGGCGATGCTTCATGTATTTTCATATATCAGCGTTTTTGTCCGTTCCTACTTATTACTTTCAGCAACGACTCCAAATAATAAGACAGATCAAGGTGCAACTTCATACATAGTGCTTGCATACATCATTTATCGCATCTTATTTGCAACAATAATCTGTAATTATGGATAATTATTGATTTCTGACGCAAGAGTAATCGCAAATAATAACACTCTTTTCCAATCGTATGAAAAATTCGTTACCGTAATTTTTAATTTCGATTCGAATACTTTAAAACACTATATTTCTCTGATTCGAGTTGAGCGTGTTGAAAAAAGAGGCGTTGCAAAAGGTGCCTTCCGTCGAATTTTATGCACATATATCGAGGTCGATTATAAACATGAAAAAGAAGACGCGGAGAAGGTGTTCATGACGAAGGTAACGCCCGTAGTCTTGTTGTTTCCCTTTAACCTTGCCCGAAGCAATTCCTCCCAATGCTTTGTCGAGGCATTTTTCTGACGTATTATAAATTACTTTTTGCTCTCAGCTGCATGTACTCAGAGTTTCTATCGATACAATGCAGCCTTGGCCAAAAGTACAAAGCACTCTCAATTTATTGTACTTTCTTCAAAAAAAGGCGACAATAAAAGCCAAAGGAGGACTAACAAAATATTAAAATTGTTATAAAAATAAATGTTATTTTTTAACACAATTAAAATTTTTTAATTTACTTTTTGTTAGTTATAGAATGTTTATGTAAATTTGTGGAGTTGCTTATGACCAAGGCTGCAATTTATTTATTTTGTTTCTTTAATTATTCCTAACAACTTTTATCGAGTTATTTGCCACTCTTTGAAAAGCTATATAAAATAATTATTAAACTGTACCTTATTTTTCTTGCGATGCGGTTAATTCTTTTGTTATTTACGTTATTAATAAATGCTCAATATTTAAATATCTTTGCAAACTCTGAATGTAAATTATACAATGGATATAATGTTCTCTCTCTCTCTCTCTCTCTCTCTCTCTCTCTCTCTCTCTTCATAATACTATTTTAATTTATAAATTATTATTCAATAACATAGTCGTTCACGGCATAAACATAATTTCCGCTAATACAAAAGCTATTATTATCAGATAACATGAGACTGCATGTTAATTATTGCACGGACATTCATATCTATTCTTTTCTTTTTTTTTTCTATTTACATTCGCATACTTCATAATGTGCATCTATTAAATTTTATCGCTTATGATTAACAGACGGGAGAAATGACTGAATGTGGGAAAACATTTATCAAGCGCGAGTTAGACGGCCGGACCGGACTTATCGATTCTGTAAATACCCATTCCATTAATGACGTCAAATGTCGAGACATACAGAATTACAACAAATTATATAATAATGTATCTCATGGTATGCAGTATTTACATATGCGCGTTTCTCGGATTTTGTAGCTTTAAGCGATGCTAACTTTAAACGACGCTTGTTCGTACATATGTATTTACGCGAAGCACATCGTTCTATGGAATGTTTATCGTGAGCACAACAAGAGGATTACATTCTTTCGCAATAGTATATAACTAATTGCATCTTGCCGACGGGATGGCTTTCCTTGTATAGAAAAGTCAGGCTGTTTTCTCTATCACGATCGTAGATTTCTTCTAAGTAAATCCTTAGTAAGTGCTCCTTATGCGTGTCATTAGCAATGGCATTAAAGTTTTAGAAAAGTTGCATAGATCCTGCCTTTCTCTAATTCGCATAGATAATACTATTATTGTTCCTACAACATTCAATACTCTTCTTCGAATTTTTATCCGAATGACCCTATCAATTTTCTTTCATCTTTGTCTCTCAATCTCTCTCTCTCTCTCTCTCTCTCTCTCTCTCTCTCTCTCTCTCTCTCTTAATTTCTCTTTTTCTCTATCAATATTTCAAAACATAGACCATGAGTACTATGATAGATATAAAAATGCTTATAATTAAATACATTGCTTGGCACCATTGCAAGAAATTGCTTTCAATCACTATCAAAAACAATTAGATCTTCTACGGCTGCGCTTGCTCGAAAATCTTTTTAATTATTACAAGTCTACAAGTATACCTTCGAAATTTTCGTAAAATTTACAAATATGTCTCGTTATTATTCTAGCGCACATTTCTTTTTTTTTTCATTGTTTTCATCTTCTGCTAAGGTCTATTTTCTTATATCACGGTTTTGTTTTCGATTCTTTGGCGTTTCGCAAAAATCATATTATAATCAAATTAAAATTGATTTGAATAAGACTTGATGTGTGCACGTTATATAAGATTAAATGCCTCTCCAATCTAGAAGTTTTAATATGTAAATAATAAAGATGTAGCAGTGGCGTTATTTTGAACTATTAAAATATTTAAAAAAATCTGAATCAGATCGTATCTTAACTACTCATCCATTAATCTTAATTAAAAAATTAACACATTGTCTCTCATTAAATTTTAATTAAAATTTAATTTACATATATACATAATATATATTTTACTTACATTCTATTTACATTATTACAATTTTATAATAATTACATTTTCAATTTAAATTTTCATAAACTTAATTTAATTAGAATTCATGTATAAATAAAATGTAAAATTAATTATCCTATAAATCTTAACATATAAAAATGCAATTTATTCATATTAATTTATATTTTTATCTTTAAAAATAACTAAATGAAGATATAGCCAAATGTAAATATATTTTAAAACTAATTAATGACATTGGTTTCCACATATCTATATTTGAAATTATACAAATCATGGAGTATCTACATTTAATTACATTTCGATTTTTTTATAAAATCTGTAAATACATTCTCAGATACTTGTATCTCGAGCTACGTAACTGCGTCTTTAATCAATAACGCTATGATTACTAATGCAAAAAAATATTTCTTTTCTAGTATTCAAGTATTCACATCGGAGGCGTCGGTATCTGCGAGTATCTTTGTACCGTCTGCCCTCCTATCAAATGCTGCCCTCTGTTACATATCAGAACGCAAATCGAGCCTCCGCTGGCCTCCAGTTCGCAGGCGCGTCTTCCGGTATATATGTACGTATACCGGTTTACCGTCTCCTACACGCCAACCGGGACGCATTCTTTCCTCGTGTCCCGCTGGTGTTGGAACCGCTAGTCTCTCTCTCTCTCTCTCCTCTCTCTTTCTCCTTCTCACTCGATCACCCCACCACACCCTTCTTTCCGCCGACCTTCGTCCTTACGTACCAGTTTCCACAGTACTTGCGTGGTAGCTGCCGTTTTCACAGCGACCCCACTACCGTGCCTCACGACCAGTTCCCCGTTACTGGTAGTCTGTCTGGTACCTGATGCGGCAACAGTTGTTCCTCGCTACGCTCACTGTCTGCCTATATACTCCTCCCATTCAATGATTTTTCTTTCTCTCTTCGCGTTTTCCCCACTTTGTCCCTCTTCGCGAGCGTTCTCACTCCGTTCTCCCGCATTCGCGCGAGTCTTATCCGCGAATGTCCGTGAACGTCCGATAAGAGCGACAGTGTCAGGGTCAGTGTGAGTGGGGCAACGCGGCGGCGGCGGCGGCGGCGGCGGCGGCAGCGGCGGCGTGTAAAGAGCGAGCGTCGAGGAGAGTTTGGAGCTGCAGTGCAATACGGGTGAAGGGGTTCGCCCTCGTCTCTCTCCCTCTCTCTTCACTCTGTCTCTCTTTCTCTATCTATCTCTCTCCGCCAGGTGACTGTCATCAGTCTCCGTCGACGAAACATGTCTCTCATCGCCGACTGCTTTCGCCGTCTGACGGACATCTCGTCCTGCAAAAGCGAGGTACGCAACACGTGCTTATTGCGCTTATCTTGCATGCCAGTTGCGCGATAAACACGCCTGACATATCGGAGTACAAAGTGGAATGCACGCTTCAACTGCATTCTTGAGAGACTGGCAATATCTCTTGTTTCAAGACGTGGCTTCTCTTTCTCTTCAATATTTTAAATAATAATAAAAAAAAAATTGTAGTTGTCTTCAAACAATTATATTTATTTGAATGAATATTCATAAATCGGGATTAAGTAAGACTTGAACTATGTAAATATATGAAAAGATCTCCCTCTTTAACTGTCACTGATTCATAATAATGTTCAAGTGTTCAGTATAGTGAAGTATTTGCTACTTTTACCGCGCTTATATACTCTACACTGCTATATGTTTACCAATACTACTTCTGTATTTATTCTTCTGATATAACATGTAAGATTTATTCTGAAAAATATTTTCACGCGAGAATGCTGACATTTGATGGCATATCACGATTTGGCGTATCCCATCTGTCATTTTGTCGTCAACAATATACATATATATGCGTGTATATAGATAATGGCGCGTATGAGGATATTTGACGAATTTTAGTATCAACGGCTTCATTATTCATGACATTTGCATTTCGATGTGACGTGTCGAGTGGCCTCGACTGGACGCCATTGAATATAAAATGTGGGTCACTCGAAGAAATTGTGCACGCGCAATGCTCTGAAACCCGATGGCCTTGAACGTGATGCTGAGTGCAATTACGCGGTTACTTGGTCCGAAATAATCTGATAATACCCGAATAATCTCTTAATGTAATTTATTTTACTGGCGCAGCCTAACGCTCTCTCTCGATAAGCATTAATTTAATAATTAATGCTTAATTTATTTTATATTATACTTTTAAATATACATTATATATATATATATTTTTTTTTATATTGTACTTTTAAATAAATATAAACATATTATATCATTTTTTATTTATTAAATTTATTATTCTATACGTCAGAAGGAGCTTATAAATTGCATATTTGATTACAGAGCACAGAGCGCTTTATTATACATTTATATAAAATATTAAATTAAAACGGCAGTTCTTTGTGACTGCGTTAAATATTTCTAAAAAGTCACCTGTGTAAAATTCTTTATCGTTATAATTAATTTATGATTTTCCATCTGGCAAATTCATTTCAGCTCAAAGGCTACAAAGTGACGGATGTGAGTCGTACGCGAAAAATCGGCATTGCCTGCCGGAGTTTCCAGGACTTGAAACAGAAAGCGTGTTCAAAGTTAAATGTAAGTAATATACTAATATGAAAAGTAGACATTAACTTTACATTGTTTACGTTACGCTAATTTCAAACGAAAATGCGTTCGCTCGGTATGCGTGCGCCTCGGAAACAAAAACCGTAACGTATGAATAATTCAACGTATTTTCACGCAATGTAAACTGCACGTACGCGAAAATGTAACGAAGTTTATCATGTAAATGCCGCGCATTTACATTTATCGAGTATTTAGATGCCCACCACGACTGGCATAGATTTGAACTGGATTTATGTGCTTTTTGTATTGTGCTGATTCACGTAACACACATACACGCTATCATTATGTAAATAGCGCAAGTTTTTGTTTAAAGTAATAAAGAGCGAGATTTATGCGAATTCGAGGTAAACGTCGATGCAGATGTGTTGACGTACCCTCGACGAAAAAAATATTGGGAAAATAAATCTCGTCAATTGTGATTTTGAATAAGCATCTTTCGCGTTTTTTGTTTTTCATTTTAAATATCTGCATTGTTTACGGTAACAAAGTAACTGCGACACAATGGGGAGCAAAAACAGTAGCCGATACGGGAATCGCGTTGAATGAGCGTAAGTCGACTCATTGCTGCTCGATTTACCGGCCATTAAATGCTTCGCGGAATGTGGAATTTGTCCTTGCAGTCGAAAGCAAGAATAGCGGCCAGTGCATGTGCACTAAACGATTCATTGTTGTATAGATTTACTCGATTCTCGACACTCGTTCAATGCGTCTCTCCATTACGCGTGCACTTGCTCATTTAAATCGCGCCGAACTTGAATTCTGCTTTCGTTCCGAGCTTTCCTCCAAGCCGCTTTTGCAATCATCGCTCAGTAATGATTTTTAATCGGTCACACGATTATACGCGACAGTCTTTAGGCTATAGCGGCTGTAACGAATTGGAACGGACACGTGGCACACAGGTGTGTTAGTGTTTGCTTAATATAGCGTTGCGAAAATAGAAAGCCATTCGTTAAACACGTACACAGAAATTTGCATCAAGTGACAAGAATATTCCGTAGAAATTATGCAAGACAGGTACTGTGACGGGTATACTCTTGAAATATTTTCTCATTAAGCGTAAAGGCGATAGCGTCCGTATAGTACTGACATGAGATCCGAGAAAATGCAATTTTATTTATGTAAGACTGCTTTGTCTGTTACTTGAATAATATAATTTCTATGTGTATTGACATCCTCGAGCAAAAAAAAGTTTTTATTTCTGTAATTTTTATTAATAAGCGATTTAATTACATTCTTAAGGATTTCACCGGGTACTTTCCTTAAGAGCGATTTGATTGTCTTAAAGAATTTTTTATAAACAATTTGAAAAAAATTATAAGAAGGAATACGAATTACTGGCAAAGTAAAATGTCGCTTGCGATATTCGGTGCGCCAAATGTTACCTCATATTCTTCTTTCTGGTATGATAACACGAATGCTTAGTACAATTACGATAACGTAACGAGAATACTGATAAAGATACGTACAATTATATTCTGGATTAGGATATCATATCGCTCGTATCAAGTGCATTTTTCAACGACTGCCCTTGATGTGAAAGAGACCGTACGTGTGGCTGATGATAGCATTTCGCGGATAGATAGGTCGATCCAGTTGCAGCGCGTCCTTGAATCCGCAACCGTTCGCCCGCAACCGCTGGCTCTATCGAACCAGCCGGGCCAGGGACAGGAAGTAATCTCAATGTTAAGGTCGTGAATCCGCTTTTCCGCGCTGGCTTTAAAGGTCGACCCAAATAGTTTGCTAGGCCAATGTCAACCCGAACCAGCGCAAAATCATGATTCTACCTCTCAAAATCGACGTTCTTCGAATGGACTGGATTGTTAAAAGAGATTAGAACGTTAAGCCGGCTCTTCACGCGCGATACATTCAATTACAATTCAATTACAATTCGCGCGTAACATTAAAATATAATTAAAAATTATTGTCAAAAAAACTGTCACACCGTTCAAATGACGTAACAGTTTTAAATTGACGAGAAAACGTTTCCACTGCATCGAAGTGTATTTATAACATTGATACTATATTGTAATAATCAATATCGATTTGCTCCTATAAGTATCACATTGTAACTAATAATAATTTTCGATCATAATGCGATCAAATTATCTTTTCCCGTTATTCGTGAGAGATCAAACTTTTAACAACTTTTCGCGGTTCGAGAAAAACTGAAGGCACACAGGATGAATGCGCCGCGGCAATTTACAGCATCGATTTCCATTGTTCGGAATCGGTAGAGAAATGTGAAAATGATGCCGTCACGTCAATCGAGAATCGAGATGTAAAAGTTGATGAAAACCTTGTATATTCGGCCTTCGAGAAATTATTTATATACGGGAAGCTACCGCGAGATGTATTTTATATAATAGCCTTGACGTTTGTTTGAGATATATTGAATATTCTCTCGTATTACCTCATCATTTATTCAAAATAGTTAGTTCACGGACGTTAATTAATTCGCGAGCGAGGAAGAAAGGAAGGACTCTTTCAATGTAAATATAATATATTGAAACGTAGTATCCCTCGCGACCAGAGAGAATTAATTAACGTAGAGTGGTAAACTGATCGATATCCTGACGTTCTTGTAGGTAACTAACGACCCGGCGGAAGTGAATGTCTTTCTTTTAGACGGATCACTGATCGACGAAGAATACTTTCATACGCTGGAACCGCAGACTACTTTGATCTTGCAGATGCCCGGGGAAAAAGTATTATCCGGTTAGTACAACACGTAGTATGATGATTAAATGTATTAGAATGCTTTGAAACTGGAACAAGTTACGTAATTGAGTTAGCAACGACTGAAAAAAAAAGATATCAGAATTTGAATATTTTATCTTTGGATCTTTGGAGATGAGCTTAATTGTTCCACTTTCAATGAGTAACGCAATTATCGTGTACTCAAAAATTAGATTTATAGAGAAGGTGATTGTAACAGTGTCGAAGCGCCAGAGAGAGAGTTACGAATTAGTTATCACACTGAGTGGTCAATAGAATTTTTAAACCTTAATAAAATTTTACTCAGTGAATTACTATTTGCTATTTCTTTTTCGAACGACAATTCATTATGCTAACATTTTCTGAATCAATCTTTTATTTATTTTTTTTTTTAAAGAGAACCATAAAGCATTACAAATTTTTTAATATACGCGTACAGCTTGTGTACACGTCGATTCTTGCAACTGACACATTTTATTGCAATCGATTTCTCGACGTTTTTGGCTATCGATAGATTCACAACTGTACAAAGCTGATACTGCGCTCGTGTTCTACATCACCTTGAGATTCTTGCATTGTGCATTTATCTCTTGGTATTCGCCATAATTTAAGGACACTTCCGAGATACATTGCTTTAAAGATTCAACGTAAGTTTATCGCGGCGCAATAACGAATGCAATTGCGTTTGGCCGAGCGCCAACGTTAAATATTCCGGTCCATGTGTCAGCCTCTCTCGAAGTTTGCGAACCTCTTGGCAAAAGTCGAGCGCGCGGGACGAGAGGAAAACAAGATCGCGCTCTTTCACCGACACGCGAGCGAGGACGAGCGCCGCCGTGCGATTTTTTTTTTCAAGGACGAACGATTTCCCGCAGACGCGGACATTCTCTACGATGCACTGAGACGCGTCAACATCGATTTCCTCACCGCCGGCGACAGGGTGACGCAATTTCTGACGGAGAATCTTAAGGCAAAAGTCGCCTTGCTGAACAGAGTGTTGAACAAGAACGATTCTATGACAGCGCTTAGCACTAAGGAGGAGCATCCGGATTGGTTTGAAAATTTGGAAACCAATTGCATGTCGAAGGTGTGTTCAATCAAGCGAAATTCTCCTTGAGAATATTTTCGCTAAACTTAAATATATAATAATAATAATAATAATAATAATTAATCTACAATATATATTTCGAACGTCCAAATAATATCCTTAAAGTGTCTATAATGAGACTTAAGACTTAAGATTTAAGAAAATTGACCAATTACAGTCGATTATTCATCTCACGTGAGAATAATCGATTGTGATTGGTCAATTTTCTTAAATCTTAAGCACAGTATAACCAGTAGGTCCACTCAGCGAAAAACTGAGTCTTCGCGCAGGTATCGCCGCGCAACTTTTGTTTTGGGTTGGATCCAATGAAATGCAAGACGATAGGAACGTACAATACATATGTGCAGACAATTTATAAGCAATTACATCAGAAATTTTCTATAGA